CGCCAGGCCTGAGCTCCCCAGCGCTGCTCTGCTGAAGGTACCCTGTCTCTCCAGGCAGCCAGGTCCTTCTTGCTCCAGGGCTGGAGTGAGACTCTCACGACTCCTTACTCACAGCCCTCGTATCAGGGCCAGCTGTGCCCAGCTACTCAGCCAGCCTCCCTCAGCTGCTCTCACTCCTTTTATCCCAGGAGCGGGGTAACCACCCCACTACAGGTGTATGTACCTCTGGGTGTATGCACCTCTGGGCGTCTGTATGCGCTGTGTGCGTGTGTAGGGTGTACATTCCACTGGGTGTCTGTCTGTATTGTGTGCGTGTGTAAGGTGTATGTTCCACTGTGTCTGTGTGCGGGTGGAGGGTGTATGTTCCTCTGTGTATATGCATGTGCTGTGTGTGTGTGTAGGGTGGCTGGAGCTCTGTGTGTCTGCATGCACTGTGTGTATCCGCTGTATGTACCTTTGCACGTACCTGTGGTGTGTGTGCACCTGCCTGTTTTGTCTGCATGTGCGTTGTGCGTATCCATCAAGGCAGCATATCGAGACTTGGTAGCAGCCGAGCCAGGTGCTGCCCAGGTGGCAGCGCAGGGAGCAGTCCCTGGCCTTGCCCGCGATGTTGGGAGGCCCTGCCTGCGGTGACCCTAACGCTGCTCTGCCAGGGGCATTCTTGGGGGGGGGTGTCACCCAGCTGGCGGATGCTGGGGCAGAGTCCCAGCTGGGCCATGAGCCGGCAGGACTCCGGAGCTGCAGTCTGTGGCCCTGGTCAGAGAGCGCTGCCGTCACTTCTCTAGGGCAGAGCCCTCCCAGGGCAGTGGGGGGTGAGGAGACGGAGCTCAGCACGGGCCACAGAGGCACTCCGCTGCTGCGTAACTCCGCGAGTGGTTGGGGGGGGACTGCCCCAGCCGGGAGCTCAGTCCAGGGGCAGAGGGGCTGCACAGCATGAGAGCAGAGCTATATGGGTACCAGCATGGCAGAGCGCAGCGAGGGGGCCTAACCCCGGAGCAGGAGGACAAGGAGGGGACGATGGGGCAGAAACTAGAAAGGCCCTGTCTGGGCCGACCATAGAGGGCCAAGCAGCAGCATCCTTGCAGTCTGTCCCTGGGCCTTTGCCAAATCTGGGTCTGTACATCCCTGGCGATGGGGGGCCCCCAGCCTTCTCCCTTGGGGTGATTCCTGGCCGAACCTGTCTCCCGCTAGGGAGTGGCAGAGCCCCCAGCCTGTCCCTACAGTGTTCGCCTTGCCCTCCCTCCACAGGGCTCACACCTGCCAGGCTTTGTGGAGTCTCACTCAGCCCAGGGCTAGGCCCCAGTCCTCCTGGCCAGCAGATACTCCTGCGGGAGGGCTAGCTGGGTTGCTCTGGGCCCATCCCCTAGCCTGTTTCTCTGGCCTTGGTTAGCATGGTCCGCAGTGGCATTAACACACTTTAGACTGGGCTGACGTGAGGTGAGTGAAGGTCTGACTCCCAGCCCACCTGCAAAGCAGCTCCCTCTCCAGCCTGTGCTCCTGCCAGCAGGAAGGTGACAGGCCCAGGCAGACTTGTTTCCGTTGGGTATCAGATAGCTGCAGCTCAAAGCCCTTCCCCTTGGCTGGGCTCCGCTGGGTTCTGTCCTGAAAAGCAGACAGAGCCGCTCTGGCCCTGGTGCGGCTCCACACACCTTTGATTCTTGCCTGGGGAATCCTCTTTCCCTCCCTGCAACCCCTGGTCCTGGATTTACCAGGGTGGGGCCAGGATCAGGGTCTTGTCTGTACTTGAAGGCTGCTCCCATGCTGGCTTATCTCAGGCTATGTCCGCACTACGCTACAGACCTTACAGTGACCCAGGAGGTGGGGGCTGGCTCTGTGACCCAGGCCAGAGGTGCCGACTTGCTAATTTCCCAGGGGGGACTCGACCCCTGCTCCACCCCAGGCCCTGCCCCTTATTGCCCCCCTTCTCCCAAGGCACTGCCCCACCTCTTCCCACCTCTGCCACTTCCCACCCTCGCTCCCCCCCCCCATCGTCTCTGGCCCCTCCCCGCTGAACAGCTGATCGCTGGTGGGTAGGAGGTGCTGGGAGGAAGGGGGAGGAGCTGATCAGCAGGGCTGCTGAGCACCCACTGGTTTTTTTTCCTGTTGGTGCTCCAGCCCCAGAGCACCCACGGAGTTGGCACCTCTGCCCCAGGCCCCTCCTTTCCCCTGGGAGCAGGGGTCTCATAGTGCTCACCCTAGCTCACTCTGCTCCTTCCCAGACCCCATGGCAAAGCCCCTCCAATTCCCTTCCTCTGTGGCTGGTTCCTCCCAGGGCCTGTGCATTCCACCGCAGCCGTAGCTGGCCGCGTCTTCCCCCACCCGTGACCTCCCTGCTCTTCCTTCCCTGGCCCTCGGTGCCAGCCTAGCTAGGCCCTGCGATCGGCTGTAGCTCAGGGGTAGCTGCAGCCCGGGGTAGGGGTGGTGATGAAGTCACATGGGGCGTCCGCAGCTCAGAATTGAATTAGATCCCCTGACTCACCAGTCCCCTGTCCCCCCTGTGGGCTCCCGGCATCCCCAGTTGCTCCGCGCATTCCCTGGGGCCAGCTCCCCTGTTGCACTGGTAGGTTTACCCCTGCCCCAGTTGCGCCTCACTCTCTTGATGCCTTAGCCCTCTTCTCCCCTGCCTCCGAGCTCTCCATGGCTCAGGACGTGGTACCGGGAAGGGGAGCACCGTGCTCCATGTTCACAACATGGCCCCCTGCAGCGGGCGTCTAGCCAGCCTCCTCGCCCTGCTGCACTCAGGGGCCTCGGTCCCCAGAAGCCGCCACTTCCCTGCCCTTTCCCCTGCAGCAATTGTCCCCAGGCGCCTTCCCGGCCTGGCAGGGGTCTGTACTGCTTGGGAAATGGTGTCTCCTGTGCTGTGAACACCAGCGCTCTCCGCTCACCTGCCCTGCCTGGCTCCAGGGGGAGCTCATGTGCAGCATCCCAGCTGGCCTGAAATTTGGGTGGGGCCTGCAGGGGCATGATGGGGAAGGGGCAGAACAGCTCAGAGCATAGGGTCTGTGTGTGGGGTTGGGCCATGGCCCCTAACTCTGGGGCTGCAGACGGTGCGATCTGGCCTGGACCCCCCAGTAATAGCTCCCGGAGGCACCAGACCGGAAAGCCCCACATCCAGGCAACACAGCCTCAGCCCTGGGAGCTAGCTCGACCCCCTGCCCCATAGCTCTGAACCCGTCGCTGCATGTCCCCCAGCTCATTTGCTGGTGCCCCCCCTGCCCCCTTGTCTTGCCCCAGGCTTGGCTCCTGCCTGTGGCTGGTAACTGGAGACGGGCCCAGTGCAGAGCCTTGGTTCGGTGGGTCTGAGGCTGCAGCTCAAAATCCTTCCAGCGAGGGGCCCAATGTGACCCGGGCCCAGGAGCAGCCAGGCTCTGGGTCCCTGTGGCTGAGGAGGACAGGCCAGGTTCTGGCTGGGCCCAGATAGAGGCACAAGGCTCAGCTCTGGGTTGGGCCATCCCCCACCCCAGTCTTTCTGGGCCCATGGATGGATGTGAGAGTCCCGTGGGATTAGCTCCGCACTAGGCGTACGTGTGTCCATGCCACTGTGTGCCTGTCTGTCTGTACAACCCCATTCAGTCATGTTCCCTCCCCCCGGCCTGTGCCTCCATGGGCCCATGTGTGTGCTTTGTGTCTCTGTGTGCCCAGGTGGGTTTGCCCCCATGTACCCTAATGCCACTTGTTCCTTGCTCTCAGGAGACCATTCTGGGGGCTTGGCTCTGCGTCGTGGGGTCTCGGGGAGCTGATCCCAGGGGGAGACGGCCTCTCTTGTGCAGCTGTAGCCCTAGGGGGAGGGTGTGCTGTGCCAGGCCGGGCCGTGGCGGACCTTAGCCCGGTGTGAGGACTGGTTCAGGCACGGCAAGCTGGATTGGGCCTGGCTCACCCTGTGTACTCCGTTATAACTTCCATTTTGGTGCCACACGCTGTCTCCGCTGGCACGGGCCTGGCGTGTCCGGGGGGGATGCCTCACTCGGGGCAGAGATGCCCACGGCAGGCAGCTCTGGTGGTGATTGCTCTCGGCTAGGATGCCCGGTGCAGAGCCTCACAATGGATTGCGTGTTTTAATTATTATTATTGAAAGCAATTCAAGCCAGTCACAGCATGCAGCCAGGAATGGGCTGCAGGGTCCCCAGGGATTCTGGGTAACAGGGGTGGGGGGCAAGTCCAGTCCCCAAGGGATTCTGGGTAACAGGGTGGGGGCTGGGTCCCCTAGGGGAATGGAATGGGCAGGTCCCTGGAGGGTGATGGGGGGGGGGTAGGAGGGCAGCTACGGTGGGGGACAGGCAGGGGCTGGGCAGCTCCCTGGGGGGGCGGGGGCACTGGGGCTGGGCAGCAGAGCAGAGCTGATAGCAGCTGTGCTGCTGGCCCGGCAAATGCAGGGCACTACCGGCTCTGCATGTGCCCGGCGAGCAGGCCCGGGTGTGTCACTGTGTCCACCCGTGGGTGTTCGCTCAGTGCCTGGGATGGCCGTGGGTGGCAGGCTCAGCTGCAGGAGGGTTTGCTCCCCTGCATGGTGCTCAGCAGCCTCAGGCATGGCTGTGCCCAGCCTGTGCACCAGGCAGGGGGGCAGAAGTGCCAGGGTCTGGAGTATCACCGACCTGGTGGGGTTGGTGCCAGGTGAGCTGGGTGTTCGCTGTGTCCCTAGCCCCTGTGTCGGTGGCAGGGCCGGGTCCTGGTGCCCGGACGTCCCCGAACCTGGCCCGTTTGGTGCTGGATGCCAGCTGTGGCGCCCTGGCTCACTGGAGCGGGCGGCGCCTGTGGCCTGGTCAGGTGTCTCTGCTGCTGCTCCCATTGCCCAAGAGCCCTGAGTCAGCCCCTCCGCCTGCATCCCCAGGGCCGGGCAGGAGCCAGCCCCGCCCCTGGCTCCCAGGGCTGCTTCATAGGGCAGGGGAGCGATACTGAGCACTGGGCGCCTACTCAGCCCGTTGGCACCTGGGTGGGGCAAGAGGGCGGCCCTGGCTGAGAAGGCAGCTCTGGGTCCCAATGGAAGTGCTTCTTGTCCCCAGATCCCTGCAACACTGCAGCTGGTGGCCAGTGGCCTCTGAGCCCTCTGCACCATGGCCAGCGAGAAGATGCATGGTGCCCAGGACCTGCTGGAGCTCAACTTCCAGTGTAAGGGTGGAGGGCTGGGGGTCGCAGGGTGGGGAGGCCCTGTGCTTTGTGCACAGTGGTCTGGGGAGTGGCTGGGAGAGGTGGGGGCTGTGTGGTGACTAGGGGGAGGTGTTGGGGGGGCAGGAGGGGTGCTGGTGGATGTGTGGTGACCAGAGGCTTGGGGGTAGTGCATGGTGATAGCCAGGGGCTGGAGGGGGCATGGTGGCTTTCATGGATTTGGGGTGCCAGGGAGTTGGGCTTTTGCGGGGAGCAGAGGGTGCATGGTGGTGTGTGGGGTGGCCAGGAGGGTGGGGGATTTGTGGTGGTTGGAGATTTGGTGGTGGTGCGTGGTGGCTGGCAGGTGTGTGAGGTGGCCAAGGGTGGGGATTAGGGTGCAGTAGGTTGGGGATTTGGGGGGTGCCGAGGGTGCGTGGTGGCTGGCAGGTGTGTGAAGTGGCCAGGGGTGAGGTTCGGGGTGCAGTAGGTTGGGGTTCTGGGGGTGCAGAGGGTGTGTGTGGTGGCCAGGCGTTCGGGGTGCAGTAGGTTGGGGTTCTGGGGGTGCAGAGAGTGTGTGTGGTGGCCAGGTGTTCGGGGTGCAGTAGGTTGGGGTTCTGGGGGTGCAGAGGGTGTGTGTGGTGGCCAGGCGTTCGGGGTGCAGTAGATTAGGGTTCTGGGGGGTGCGATAACTAGTGGCTTTTCAGCTATTTGGTCACAGCCTCCCAGAGCGCTTGGGCTGCTGTTGCTGAACCGGCAGCCCAGCCATCCCACCAACAGGCCCGAGTGCTCTGCTCCCCACCGACTCCTCAGGAGAGGCCTGGAGACAAGCTGGGGATGGGATGAACCTGGGACCCTGTTGCTCACCAAGTCTAGGGGCCTCTTGGAACCGCCAGCCTGCCCGGGTACACTCAGATCAGGACAAGGGCCCCGCAGGGCCATGGCTCTGGGCTCTCTGCATAGCCCAGGCCAGCCGGGTGCGGAGCCTGCCCTGGCACAGAGCCTCATGGTGCCGTCTCCCCCAGCCCTAGCTATGAAGCACATTGACCTGAAGCAGGTGGAGCTGGACACGGCCGCAGCCAAGGTGGATGAGCTGTCCAGACAGCTGGAAACCCTGTGGACGGACAGCCCAGGGCAGACTGCTGGGCAGCCTAAGGTACGGCAGGGAAGGGAGACGGCTTGTCTTGGCAACGACTGCCTTGTCACGGGGAGCACTGCCCCACCACTGAGATGCAGCCATCTCTGGGGTGCGATGTAGCTGAAAGAGAATCCTCTACTTTCACCTGGACGGGGATGTTTCAGGGAGGAGGAATGGGATTTGACCAGGACCCCAGGGCTAACACCCTGGCACAGGGGAGTCTTGTGAACGGGCTAGTGAAAGAATCAAGTGGGCAAGAGTTCAGGTCTCTCATCCCCAAGAAGGCACCTCCAGCAGCACAGTGCCCCCTAGTGCCAGGCTGGGCCAGTGGGGGTCAGCACTCACCCCGAAGGGACAGCGCCCCCCTACTGAGTCCTTGCCCCGCTCCCTGCAGCACAGCGCCCCCTAGTGCTATGCCGGGCCAGTGGGGGTCAGCACTCACCCTGAAGGGACAGCGCCCCCTACTGAGTCCTTGCCCCGCTCCCTGCAGCACAGCACCCCCTAGTGCCAGGCTGGGCCAGTGGGGGTCAGCACTCACTCCAAAGGGACAGAGCCCCCAATGAGTCCTTGCCCTGCTCCCTGCAGCACAGCACCCCCTAGTGCCAGGCTGGGCCAGTGGGGGTCAGCACTCACTCCAAAGGGACAGAGCCCCCAATGAGTCCTTGCCCCGCTCCCTGCAGCACAGCACCCCCTAGTGCCAGGCTGGGCCAGTGGGGGTCAGCACTCACCTCGAAGGGACAGTGCCCCCATTGAGTCCTTGCCCCGCTCCCTGCAGCACAGTGCCCCCTAGTGCCAGGCTGGGCCAGTGGGGGTCAGCACTCACTCCAAAGGGACAGAGCCCCCAATGAGTCCTTGCCCCGCTCCCTGCAGCACAGTGCCCCCTAGTGCTATGCCCACCGGTGCAGTGGTGCCATAAGAGGAGTCTGATTTGCTCTGGATGGGGTAGGGGCTGCAGCCGCCAGGCCCGTGCTGAGCCTGTCTGCTCTCCCTGCCGCTCTCAGGTGGACAGATACGGCGCCAGCCCCTCGCACGCCCCAGAGCCGCTTGGCTTGGCCACGTCCCCACAGCTTCAGTACGCCAGGAAGAACTTGTCCCTGGAGAGCACCAACAGCTACATCTCCTACCACGCTGAGACCTTCTCGCCCACCGCCGCCTGCAGCCCCCCTGCCAAGGCCCTGCTGGGCCACCCCGCCTCGCCCCAGTCCCCCTTCTACCTGCAGGGCGAACCCCTGGAGCGGGCCCAGTCGCCCCGGCCCAAGGTGCTGCCCGTCTCTTACGACTCGCTGCCCCTGCCCAGCCCCAAGGCACGCGCGCCCTCCCCGCGCTCCCTGTGGCAGGCTGGGGCCACGGAGCGCCTGTCCTTCTCCAGGCCGGCGGGCCGCGCCAGCTCCCCCCGGCTGCCGCCCGCCCCCTCTGAGGCCTCGGCGCTGCAGATGTTCTTCCCGGACCGCGCGCTATCTCCCCGGCCGCCCCACCCGCCGCCCTACGAGAGCCACAGCCTGTTCCCCACTGGGCCCAGCTCCTTCGCCCCCTTCCGGGCCCAAGGTAAGCCAGCCCCAGCCTGACACACAGACCCCCTCCCATATGGCTTTGGGGGGAAAGGGGAGAGCACCGTTGGGCCTGTTCCTCTAGGGGGCATTAGAGGGGTGCTTGCTGTGTCCTGCAGCTTTACGGGGGGGCTCAGAGCAGGGGTGACGGAAGTTCTCTAAAAGTGTGGGGGGGGCCATGGGCGCCTGAACGGTGGCCCCGCCCCTTCCCCCAAGGCCCCGCCCTCACACCACCCATTCTCCCAAGACCCCGCCCTTGTGTCGACCCTTCTCCCTGAGGCCCTGATCCTGGGCTGTCCCCTCCCCTGAAGCCCCGCTCCCGCACTACCTCTTCCCCCCAAGACCCTGCCCCCTGCTTGCTCCTCCCCTCCCCATTGCTCACCCTTACAGCCAGTAAAAGGTGGGGTGGGGTGGGGCATGGACCCCTGGCTCAGAGCACGGACGAGCTGCGGTGCTGAGACAGGCAGTTACTTCCCTGGGGGACGTGGAGGTCTCTGGGTCATGCTGGTGAGGTCTCCCCTGCCCATCCCCCATCCTGGGGCTGGCATGGCCCCTGCTGGGGGCAGGGCAGGACTGAGGACCCAGGTGCTGGGGGGGCTGGGGGTGGGGTGAGACCATTCAGAGTCTCTCTCTCCAGATGACCTGGTGATCCGGCGAAGGCCCCAGAGGAGCTGGAACGAGTCAGACCTGGACGTGGCGTACGAGAAGAAATCATCCCACTCGGCCGGCTACGAGAGTGAGTGCCCAGGGTCCATGGGGAGGGCCTGGGGGGAGGAACAGACTTCTCTCTCTCCCTCCCAGTCTCTGAGAAGCTCCTGGCTGTGGAGGAGCTGGCAGCGCCGGGGGTCCCTGGCGGGCCGCGGGGGAGCTGGCAGCACCGGGGGGGTCGCTCCTAGCATTGTCCTATGATGGGTGCCAGCTCCATTTCCACACAGAGCCCCTCAGACCCCCATCCTAGCAGGACAGAAAAGCAGTGTGTAGCTTGTCCCCTGCGACAACATGGGAGCCCCCCACCTCACCAGCTGCCTTCCTGCAGGAGGAGATGTGCACACAGGGCTCAGGCAGGTGCCCGCGGGGCTGAAGCTGGCTCCTTGGAGGGAATCGAGCCTGGATGGGGTCGCAGGGCAAGGCAAGGTAAGTGCTGGCCAGGCAGGGCTAGCAGCCAGTGGGGCTGGCCCATAGCGTGGTACCACATGGGGAGGAAGGAGTCACAGCACCAGTCCCTGTGTGCTCTGGGGGGTGAAGAGAATTCATCTGCATCTGAATCAGGCCAAGCTGACCCCTGCCAGAGACCAGATACTGGGGTAGCTGGGCCTGTGGGTCTGATCTGGGGCCACTGGCGCAGGGGTGGGGCTAGCTGGGCCAGGAGTTTGATCTGGGGCCACTGGCGCAGGGATGGGGCTAGCTGGACCAGTGGGCCTGATCTGGGGTGACGGGAGAGAGGTTTGGGGCCAGCTGGGCCTGTGAGTTCGCCCCTGCGCTGGGAACCTGGCAGCCCCGCATCTGGCAGCAGGCAGCTCCTGTGGCTGGCAGCCCTGCATGGGCCCTGCCCCGCTGCTGGTGGTACCCTGGAGCCAGAGCTGTACTGACTAGGTGTGGGAGCTGCAATGACTTATGGCCGGGTGTCCCCCTGTGCTGCTGGGGGAAGGTGGGGGGTGTTCTCAGCACTGCATCTGATCCTGGCTGGCTCACAGCCCCCTCTCTCCCCTCCAGGACGAGCACCCCCAGCCTTATGCCATGCACAGCGCCACGCTGCCCCGCAATTACAAAGTGTCCCTGCTGCCCAGCGAGCGCAGACCAGACAGCTCCTTCCGCAGGCTGCTGCCCGCCAGCCAGACGGGCACCCTGCCCCGCAACTGGCAGTTCTCCCAGCAGCCCATCTCACGCATCGCCATGCCGCCCCCCAGCCTGCAGGGCACGCGGGCGAAACGCCACAAGCCTCTGCCCCTCTCCATGATCTTCAAGCTGCAAAACGCCTTCTGGGCATCCGGAGCCTCCAGTGCCAAGGGCCAGCCCCAGGGGGCCCCAGGCTCCCCCATCTTCCTCCGCTCCCCACAGAAGCAGCCCCAGCTCCAGCAGCTGTCTCCTCCGTCCCAGGCTCCTCTGCGGCCGGCCCCGTCGGGGGCTGAAGGTGAGAGACCTGGGGCAGATGTTGCAGGGCCTGATGGTCTCCTGGTTCCCCCGGGGCGGGGGTGAGGTCAGACCCCTAGCACCATGGGGCAGAGTGTGGGGGGAAACAGGAGGAATTGCTCTGCACTCAGCAACGGGGCTGGATATTGCAAGGGCCAGGGGGCTGGGAGTGGATCCAGGACTCCCCCGAGCTGTTGGGATAAGGGAGGAACTGAGTAGGTTTTGGAGCTCCCCTTTGGGTCTTGGGGTGCTGCCTAGTGTCTAGGGAAGGGGTACTGCTCGGGTTCCCCCTGTGGATCTGGGGAAGGGGGTGCTGCCTTGGACCCCCTGGGTCTGGGGGTGCTCCCCTGGGGTCTGGGCTTCTGGGTGCTGACTGGGGTTTGGGGGTGCTGACTGGGGTGTAGGTCTGAGGGTGCTGCCCTGGTTCCTCCTGTGGATCTGGGAAAGGGGGTGCTGCCCTGGCTCCCCTGGGTCTAGAGATGCTGTCCTTGGCCTGGGGGGTGCTGACTGGGGTTTTGGCCTGGGGGGTGCTGACTGGGTCTAGGAGTGCTAACTGGGGTCTGGGCCTGGGGGTGCTGGCCTAGGGCTGGGGAAGAGATGCTGCCCTGGTTCCCCCTGTGGATCTGGGGTGCTGCCTTGGCTTCCCTGGGTCTAGGGGTGCTGTCATGAATCTGAGAGTGCTGACTGGAGTCTGGATCTCACGGTGCTGCCCAGGGTTAGGAGTGCTGTACTGGGTCTGAGTCTGGGGGTGCTGTCCCTTTTCTGGGGGTGCTCACTGGCGTTGAGGACTTGGGTGTGCTGACCTGCCATGTCTCTACCAGCCGCGGGAAGGGCCTCAGCCCTTGAAGCACCGGTGGAGCCCGTGCGAGGGCCCCGGTTGGGGGGCGACACGGAGCCCGAGCTGGAGAGCATCCTGCGGAGCAGCGAGCCAGCAGAGACGGAGGAGGTGGCTCGGCCCTTGAGCCCCACCCGCCTGCAGCCTGTCCTGCCCCCCGAGGCTCAGAAGGTGCCCGAGTTCAAGGAGGTGGCTCGGGTGCTGGCGGAGATTCCCCGGCCCCTGAAGCGCCGTGGCTCCATGGAGCAGAGCCCCGGCCCTGTCCTGCCGCCCACCCACAAGAAGCAATACCAGCAGCTCATCAGCCGCCTCTTCCATCACCGGGGCCGCAAGGAGGAGGCCGTGTCGGTGGGGGACGACCTGCCACTCATCACGGAGACAGCTGAGCTGAAGGCAGCCACCCCAGTCAGCCGTGCCCCGACGCCCTCGCCCCAGAGCCCACCAGCACCCGCAGCGTTGCCCCTGCTGGCTGTTACGGAGAGCCCCGGCACCCCGACGCCCAGCCCCGGCACCCCGACGCCCAGCCCTGTAAGTGCACCGAGGAGCTGTCAGCCAGACCCCAGCCCTGGCACCCCGACGCCCAGCCCCGGCACCCCGACGCCCGGCCCTGTAAGTGCACCGAGAAGCTATCAGCCAGACCCCAGCCCCGGCACCCCGACGCCCGGCCCTGTAAGTGCACCGAGGAGCTATCAGCCAGACCCCAGCCCCGGCACCCCGACGCCCAGCCCCGGCACCCTGACGCCCGGCCCTGTAAGTGCACCGAGGAGCTGTCAGCCAGACCCCTGCCCCGGCACCCTGACGCCCAGCCCTGTAAGTGCACTGAGGAGCTGTCAGCCAGACCCCTTCCCCGCCCCAGCCCCGCACCCTGACGCCCAGCCCTGTAAGTGCACCATAGAGCTGTTAGCCCGACATGCCCCCAGCACCCCGATGCCCAGCCGTGGCACCCCGACGCCCAGCCCTGTGAGTGCACCAAGGAGCTGTCAGCCAGACCCCTTCCCCACCCCAGCCCCGGCACCCTGGCTCCCAGCCCTCTAAGTGCACCATGGAGCTCTCAGACAAACGCCTTCCCCCCTCCACCCCCCCAGCCCCGGCACCTCAATGCCCAGCTCTGTAAGTACAGCCATGGAGTTGTCAGCCAGCCCCTCCCCACAGCCCCAGGACAGGGCCCCCCCAACCTCCCTGGTGTACCCATGGAGTTGTCAGCTGGTCCCCCCCACCCCCGCAACTCCCAGAACTGGCCTCCCCGCTCGCCGGCACAGCCCGAGCTCTGACCCCTCCCGCCCACACCGTGACCTTGCCCCTTGCGTGCCTGCAGGAGAAGCGCTCGGCGCTGCGCAAGGTCTCGTCCCCGAGGCGGCGGCTGGGGAAACGGGTGCAGCTCAACCCCCTGGTGCTGCTGCTGGACGCGGCCCTGACGGGCGAGCTGGACGTGGTGCAGCAGGCAGTGAACGAGGTGAGGCTGCTGCCCCGCCCCGCCCTGCCCCTCTGGAGACAGGCATGGCCTGGAATCCTCTGCTGAGCGCGGACTGGGCAGGAGGCAATGGCCGGGGGCCGGTGCACCCCCAGGCTGCCCTGTCCCCTTCGTCCGGCTGGGGCCTGGCCAGCTAGACACGGACTCCAGCCCCTGCGACTGGTGAGCGAAAGCTGCTGCCCCGTCAGCCCGTGATCCCCGCGGGACTCAGCCAAGGGGCCCCCCATGGGCAGGCCCAGCACATCCCTGTACCCCACAGCCGGCAGGCCCCTGGGCGGCTGCTCTGGCTCCTTTGTCAACAGTGGTCAGGGAGATGGCGAGTGTCCTGCCATGTTCTGGTGGATCAGGATGGACACAGCCCCTGGGACGGGCCCGGTGTGCGGGGGGGGAGCAGGGGGCACAACCCTGGGACAGGCGGTTGGCAGCGTTTTCTAAGTTCACCCGCTCTGGCCTGCAGCTCAACGACCCGAGCCAGCCCAACGATGAGGGCATCACAGCTCTGCACAACGCAATCTGCGGGGCCAACCACAACATCGTCGACTTCCTCATCAGCGTGGGCGCCAACGTCAACTCCATGGACAGCCACGGATGGTGAGCGCCCGCCCATGCAGCCGCTGGCAGCCGACCTGCGCTCGTGTGCCTGTCAGCACCCACCATGCAGTCTTGTGCCCACTGGTGCCCACCATGCGGCCCCGGCCCCCTGCGTCCCAGTGCCTAGTCCTGTGCCCGCCATGCGGCCCTGGCACCCTGCGTCTCAGTGTCTAGCCCCGCGCCTCCCAGCACTGCCCTGTGGCCCTTCGCCACTCAGCCCCATGCCTGCCAGTGCTGCCCTGCACCCTGTGTCCCGGTGCCTACCCCCGTGCCTGCCAGCGCTGCCCTGTGGCCCCCTGTCATGCAGCCCCGTACCTGCCAGCATTGCCCCAGCATCCCAGTGCCCTCATCCTATGTGCAGCCACATCCCTGCCCTCGAGCTCCTGCTGCACAGCCCTGGCACCTCAGAGCAGCTGTGCTGCTCTAGCCCCCATGCCCCCCTATCACCCAGTGCCTGATGCCCAGCTCTGCACCCTGGCCCTGCCCCTCCCTTGCAGCATGCCAGGCCCAGCCTTGTGCCCTCGTGCTCCCCGTGGGCCCGGGCAGGGTTGAGGCGGGTGGGTGGGCGGGTACTGTGTGCGTGGCTGGGGTCCCTCCCTGTCCCAGGTGCTGCCTGCCCCAGGTTGCCGTCGTGCCCCCTGGTGCAGGCAGACGCTGATGGTCCCAGCAGAGCCCCCCACTGCCCTGGGTGCCTGTCAGCTTGTCCCTCCTGCCCCCAGGACTCCCCTGCACTGTGCCGCCTCTTGCAACGACACAGCCATCTGCATGGCCCTCATCCGGCACGGAGCCGCCATCTTCACCACCACCTTCAGCGACGGCAGCATGGCCCTCGAGAAGTGCGACCCCTACCGGGAGGGCTACAGCGAGTGCTTCAACTACTTGGCCGGTGAGGGGGGGGCCACCATGGGGAGGAGCGGGGGACGGGCGGGGGTCAACCTCATAGGGGCGGGGTGGGATGTGACGAAGCGGGACTGTTCTTAATGTTTCCTCTGAACAGTGTGGGGGTGCCTTAGTTTCCCCCATGCAGTTCTTAAGTATCTAGGTGGTGGGGTAAGGGTGTATGACCATTGCAGAGCCCTAGAGGGCAGGTGTGTGCAGGGGTCTGGACACAGAGAATGGCCGACACCCTGTTTCCTGGCAACTGATGGCCTGGGCCCTTCCCCCCTGCAAGGTGAGAGCTAAAGGGTTGGAGAACAAAGGAATCAGGTGACCTCCTTGCTCGGGACAGGGACAAAGCCCAGAGGAGGAGGGGCTGGAGGGAGTTTCAGTTTGGGGCTGGCTGGGGACATGGAGTGAAGTGCAGACGTGGTTGTCTGGCTCACTGGCCCCCAAAATGGACCCAGCTGAGGGGTCCTGTTCTCTGCACCTACAAGCTCTGTGTTAGACCATGTTCCTGTCGTCTAATAAACCTTCTGTTTTACTGGCTGGCTGAGAGTCACGTCTGACTGCGGAGTTGGGGTGCAGGACCCTCTGGCTTCCCCAGAAGCCCGCCTGGGCGACTCGCTGTGGGAAGCGCACGGAGGGGCAGAGGAGGCTGAATGCTCCGAGGTCAGACCCAGGAAGGTGGAAGCTGTGTGAGCTGTGTGTCCTGCAGACAGGCTGCTCACAGAAAGGAGACTTCCCCAGAGTCCTGACTGGCTTCGTAGGGAGCAGTTCCAGAGCATCGCCCAGGGACTCCGTGACATGGGGGCAGCTTTGTGGCGTGGGGAGAGGCCTGGGGCTTGACCACTCTGGGGGGAAGGGGTGGGGCACTTCTATGGGGGAAGGAAGGGCCGGGTGGCTGGTGGGGCCAGGAGGCTGGGTTATTCCACTGAGGGACTTGGGCCTCCCCTGGGGTTGCTGGCTGATCCCTATGCCTCCCAAGCCTGTGGCAGCTGGTTCGTTCTCTTCCCTCCCCCACCCCCCGTGGCGGCAGCTGGTTCGCTCGTGCGCCTCCCCCCATCCCCGTGGTGGTGTCTGGCTCACGCCCCCCCCCCCGCGGCCCGGCCGGGCTGTTGTTGCAGATGTGGAGCAGAACATGGGGCTGCTGAACAACGGGGTGCTGTATGCTCTGTGGGACTACAGCGCTGAGTTCAGCGACGAGCTGTCCTTCCGCGAGGGGGAGCCGGTCACCGTGCTGCGGCGCGACAGCCAGGAGGAGCTGGACTGGTGGTGGGCCTCGCTCTATGGCCAGGAGGGCTACGTGCCCAAGAACTACTTTGGGGTGAGCCCTGCCCTGAGCTCACCGGGGTGGGAGGGGCTGGGGCTGGAGGAGGACGGGCCGGGCTGGAACCACCTGGGAGCAGACCTGATCTAGGCTGTGTCTTCACTGCAAAGCCTACAGCACAGTGGTCCCCAAACTTTTGAGGGTTGCACCCTCCTTACCCCGTCCATGCCTCCAGTCTCCCAGAGCTCGGGCTGGGGCTGCGGCTTGGGGCGGGGGGACGTGGCCTGAGTTAAGGGGGCAAGGCTGGGGGCGAGTCAGGGGCCAGGAGTGCAGCTGTGGCTAGGGGCCGAGGCTGGGGGTAGGAGTGGAGCTGCAGCCAGGCTACGGTGGAGGCCGGCAGCCAGGTGTGTCTCCACTCCCAGCCTTGGCCCTGGCTGGGGGCTGCCGTGGGGCAGGGAGCCGAGGGCCAGGGGTGGGGCTGGGAGCCAGGGACGTGGCTGGAGGCAGGGCTGGATCAGAGCTGGTAGCAGAGCAGGGTTGGGTAGCACTCCCTCCCCTCCTCCCCGCCCCCATGGGGGCTGGCCCAGACCCCGCTGCACCCCCTGGGTGTTCCTCCACACACCCCCAGGGGGTGCGTCGCACACTTTGCGGACCTGTGCTATGGCAGCAGAGCCCCTAGTGCAGACGCAGCGTATGCTGACAATAGGAGGAGTTCTGTTGCCTTAGGAACACCACATCCCCGAACCCCAGAAGCTGAACCTGCCTGAGCCTTCCTCGACAATGCTGTCTACACACTAGGGGCATTGCCAGCACAGCTGGGTCACTGGCCGGTGTGGTTTTTTTATCGCCCCCGATGGACCTAGCTGTGCTGGTGTGTGTTTGGCCCGAGACTCGGGGATTTCAGTTGTCCTGAAGCTTTGGTGTTTTCTAATTTGCTTGGTTCCGATTCAGAAAATAAATTTACCAAAATTCCCTGGCGAACCAGAGATCCCTGAAAAATTGGTTTGAGAAAGACCAGAATATGGTGTTCCTGAAACAGAGTTGTGAAACTGACAAGAATTCAGAGCTATTCCCTGAATAGCAGCCATGAAACAGAGAAGAATGTCAGTTTCACTTAGCGGTTCCACAGCTGGGAGCCGGCCAGTCCCTGGAGTCCCAGTTCCAGCCAGGATCTGGGGTATGGGCAGACTTCCTGGTGGAGCTGTGGACCCTTGAACACTGGCAGGCTTCTGACCACAACTGCCCAATAGCCACTGCTGTGGGGAAGCTCGTGGCGCCGCGGTCGCTGGGAGGGCACTGCTGTGGTGAAGCTCACTCTCTCTCTCTCTCTCTCCTTCCTCCCTCAGCTATTCCCCAGGGTGAGGCCTCAGCGGAAGAAGGTCTAATGCACCAGCACACGGCTCATCTGCTGCTGCTGCTGGGAATGCAGCTGGCACCTGATGAACTTAGGGGCTGGGGGGAACATGGGGTTCTGCTGTTGGGATTCTCCCCTGCTGGGAAGTGCTCCCTTCTTCCAAGGACTTGGTCAATTGGCCCCTGGGGGCTGTGAGGACCGGGGGGGGGTAGGGCTGCCAGGGAGCCAGCTGGGCAGGGTGGATGTCCTGCTGGCAGAGAGGTGGGATGGGTGGGGGGGGGAAATCATGGCTTTGGCGTGCACTGTGGGGGGGTAAGAGCGTTGGTGGGAGCTGGGTCTCACCCTGGATTCAGTCGGGCCCCGTCCTTGGCTCATCCGCGTCAGAGACTGGTACGCGTGACTGCAGGGGGAGGGGGGAACAAATTCAAATTGGTCTCTAACCAAACTAAACAGTCCGTCCCTTGGGAAAACCCGAGGGTGGGTGAGTGTGGCGGGGGCAGCCTCCTGTGCCAGACCAGGTGCCACCCTGCTCCTCCCCAACCCTGTGGGCTCCAGCCTGACCCGGTGCCCTGGCTGGGGGAAGCTGCGGGGGGAGCGGTCATTTCCTGGCCCAGTCTCTGAGCAGCTGTGTTCCTGTGGGAATCGCTGGGCCCAGGCGCACCTACTTGCCAGCCCCACCTAATGGGCATACAGCGAGAGAATCCTTCAAGATATGGACATGCAGCCCATGGAGACTTTGGGTCCCAGCATGCATTGCGGCCAGTCGGCTCGGTGACCCCCAGCGGTGAGGTTCTGGGGGCTTCACCCTAACTGGAGCCTGGGCACTTCCACAGAGGTCCAGGCCAAGAAGGTGCAGGGCCCAGCTTCCTCCACAGTCTGGCAGCACTCCTGGTACCAGTACAATAGGCCCTATGATGCTGCTGTCCTCCTTACCCATGGGGCTTGGTGCCCAGCCCCCATTCAGCCAGGGAGTGGGGAACGAGGCTGAGAGCTGAGCCCCACTCTGTGCCCTTCACTCACAGGCCTCTCCCCAAAGACGTCCCTCTGCCCCCCGCTACCTCAGCTACGCCTCAGCTCAGCTTGTGCCGTGTAAGTTCCCCACACAGGCCCTGGTTCTCCGCCACTCATCTCCGGCTGTTTGCTATGTCGGCATGAGGCTGAAGGGGGGAAAAGCTTTCCAATCAATGGGGCAGCTTGGAGGTGTGTGGCCGAGCCAGAGAACCCCAGTGGGCTGGGGATGCAGCTGTGCTGTCGTGCAGCCCTTCGCATGAAGCCTGCTGCCGGGGCCTGTGCGGCTGGCTGCTGTGCATACGAGAGAGGCTGACGATACTCCAGTGGGAGAACCTGTATTTCTCTCCGATTCCAAGGCCAGACGTGCCCATTAGATCATCTAGTCTGACCTGCTTTATCACAGGCCAGGGAGCTGCCTCCAAGTTACCCCTGTAGGGACCCAGTCGCTTGTGCTTGGCTGAAGTTTTCTTCCCAAAAGGCAGCCAGGTTGTACTGGGAGAGATCAGGAGGTGGAGAATCCACCACTGCCCTGGAGAGTTTGTTCCACTGGGGAATATTTATGCCTAATTTCTAACTGGAATGTGTCAGGTTCCAACTTGTTGCCATTGGTTCTTGTTCTGCTTTTCTCCATTAGATTAAAGTGCCCTTTAGTACCTAGTTTGGCTTGCTCTGAAGTTGCTGTGATTGAGTCACTTTTCAGTCTTCTCTGGGATCAGCTAAACAGACTGTGCTTGGTTCTGAGAACTTTAAAGTACCCTAATAGAGGCTCACACTAAATGTATACCCCTGATGGGGAAGAAATTCTGCCATGGCTAAACAAGAGTGTAAAAGAGGTGGTTAGAGACGAAGAGACATCCTTTAAAAATTGGACGTTGGATCCTACTAAGGAAAACAGAAACAAGCCATTCTTTTTAGGTGACAGATCTGAGGCACTGTCCCAGATTGAGTGATTGATAGAGGAGGTTTTGGAAAAAATTGGTAAATTAAACAGTAACAAGTCTTCAGGACCAGACGGTATTTACCCAAGAGGTCTGAAGGAATTCAAATATGAAATTGCAGAAATACTAACCGTGGTATGTAACCTATCACTTAAATCAGCCTCTGTGCCAGATGACCAGGAGGATAGCTAATGTGACTCCAATTTTTAAAAAGGGTCCAGAGGCAATGCTGGCAAATACAGACCACTAAGCCTAACTTCAGTACCAGGCAAATTGGTTGAAACTATAGTAAGCAGAATTATCAGACACGTAGATAAACGCGATTTATTTGGGAAGAATCAACATGGCTTTTGTAAAGGGAAATCATGCCTCCCCAATCTATTTGAATTCTTTGAGGAAGTCAACAAACATGAGGACAAAGATGATTTCGTGGATATAGTTTACTTGGACTCTCAGAAAACTTTTGACAAGGTCCCTCACCAAAGACTCTAAGCAAAATAAGCTGTCATGGGATAAAAGGGAATGGACCTGGGAATGGACTGGTTAAAAGACAGAAAACAAAGAATAGGAATAAATGGTCAGTTTTCACAGATGAGAGAGCCGGTAAATAGTGGTGTCTCCCAAGGGTCTGTACTGGGATCAGGGCTGTTCAACATATTCATAAATGATCTGGAAAAAGGGGTAAAATAGTGAGGTAGCAAATTTTTCAGATGATACAAAATACTCCAGATAGTTAAATCCAAAGGAGACTGTGAAGAGTTACAAAGGGATCTCACAAAATGGGGAGACTGGGCAACAAAATGGAAGATGAAACTCAATGTTGATAAATGCAAAGTAATGCACGTTGGAAACATAATCCCAACTATACATACAAAATGATGGGGTCTAAATTAGCTGTTACCACTCAAGAAAGAGATCTTGGAGTCATCATGGATAGTTCTCTGAAAACATCCAGTCAATGTGCAACGGGTGTCAAAAAAGCTAACAGAATGTTGGGAATCCTTAGGCAAGGGAGAGATAATAAGACAGTAAATATCATATTGCCTCTATATAAATCCATGGTATGTCCACCCCTTGAATGCTGTGGGCAGTTCTAGTTGCCCCATCTTAAGATATATTAGAATTGGAGAAGGTACCAAGAAGGGCAACCAAAATGATTAAGGGTCTGGGACAGCTTCCGTATGAGGAGAGTGTCACGGAGTCCCTGGGCGATGCTCTGGAACTGCTCCCCATGAAGCCAGTCAGGACTCTGGGGCAGTCGCCTTCCTGTGAGCAGCCTGTCTTCAGGACACACAGCTCACCCGGCTTCCACCTTCCTGGGTCTGACCTCGGAGCATTCAGCCTCCTCTGCCCCTCCGTGCGCTTCCCACAGCGAGTCCGCTCAGGCGGTGCTCCTGGGGAAGCCAGAGGGTCCTGCACCCCAACTTCGCAGTCAGACGTGACTCTCAGCCAGCCAGTAAAACAGGGGTTTATTAGACGACAGGAACATGGTCTAAAACAGAGCTTGCAGGTGCAGAGAACGGGACCCCTCAGCTGGGTCCATTCTGGGGGGCAGTGAGCCAGACAACCACGTCTGCACTTCACTCCATGTCCCAGCCAGCCCCAAACTGAAAACCCCTCCAGCCCCTCCTCCTCTGGGCTTTGTTCCTTTCCCGGGCCAGGTGGTCACCGGATTCCTTTGTTCTCCAACCCTTTAGCTCTCACCTTGCAGGGGGGAAGGGCCCAGGCCATCAGTTGCCAGGAAACAGGGTGTCGGCCATTCTCTGTGTCCAGACTCCTGCACACACCTGCCCTCTAGGGCTTTGCAATGATCATACACCCTTACTCCACCCCCTAGATACTTAAGAACTGCCTAGGGGAAACTGAGGCACCCCCACACTATTCAGAGGAAACATTAAGAACAGTCCCACTTCGGTCACAGAGAGATTTAAAAGATTGAGACTGTTCAGACTGGAAAAGAGAAGACTAAGGGGGGAGATGAGAGACGTCTATATAACGGTGTGAAGAAAGTGACTAAGGAATTATTTGTCCCTTCACATAACACAAGAACCTGGGGTCACCCGGTGAAACTAATAGGCAGCAAGTTTAAAACAAAATACTTCTTCACACAAGGCAGAGTCAACCTGTGGAACTCAGTGCCATGAGATGGTGTGAAGGCCAAAAGTATAACTGGGTTCAAAAAAGCATGAGATAAGTTCCTGGAGGACAGATCCATCAATGGCTGTTAGCCAAGATCATCAGGGATGCAAGCCCATACTCTAGGTATCCCTAGCCTCTGACTGCCACAAGCTGGAAATGGATGACAGGGAAGGATCACTCCATAATTGCCCTGTTCTGTATGAAGCATCTGGCACAAGCCATGGTCAGAGACAGGATGCTGGGCTAGCAGGACCATGGGTCTGACCCAGTCTGGCCGTTCTTGGCACCAGCATCACCATGGGAGCTCATGTTGAGTTGCTTGTTCACTGTGACCCCTCAATCCCCTTCAGAGTCCCTGCTTGCCAGGACACAGCCCCCTGTGCGGTAGGGGTGGCTGGCGTCTCTTGATCCCTCATGTAGAACTGTAGTTGGCTGGGTTAGACGCATGTTTGAATGGGCCTAGCTCACGCTGGCTGACGGCCCTGTGCTCACTATTCACCGCTCCACTGATCTGTGCCGTACGCTGTCTCTGCAGCAATGGTATGGTTAGTTCCAGCTCATTGCTGACAATGTCCAACAGTGTCAGGGTTAGAACTGCTCCCTGCAGAACCCACTTGAAACCCCCTCATTTATTCCACTGCTCCGACTCCCACCTCTGCTGTCCCCACTCCCTGCTGCTCCAGCCCTCTCGGGCCTCCTCCCTGCCCTGTGGCTTCCTGTGACTCCCTTGGCCGTCCAGAGGCTCCCTCTCCCAGCCATGTTGATGCTAATGGGAGTACTGTGAGGCCAGGGCTGGGCAAGCACCTCTGGGGATTCCACCACCCTGGAGCGAGGCCCTGCCCCAGGGAGCTGCTGTGGGCATGAGGCCCTGAGGGGTGCCTGGGCAGGGCCCACAGGAGTTCTCCATTCACTTGTGACCCACCCCCTCTGCCCCAAGCATCTGGGGCCATTCTCCCTGGGGCTGTCAGTCCCCATGCAGCCCCGCCTCCAGCAGGGCCTCGGGGCCGTGAGCAGCGTTTTCCCAGTCACACGTGGGTTGGGGAGGCTTGTTTAGTTGCCCTCAGGGGCATGCACCCCCATAATCATCAGGGGCCCAGAACTTCTCTGGCCCTAGGTCTGTGGAGGGAGGGAAGATTGAGCTCC